AGAATATAATAGGATAATTACCAAAGTAATTTTCTGAACCAGCATAAATTGTTCTTAATTAAACATCTGACTATTAAATGGTATTATCATATTATAAAATGATTTCTGTAATATATTTGGGCATTATATTTACAGTAAATTATTTCTATTGCTGACATCTATTTTCTGAGGTTTGTAACTGCTGGGTTATTTCCAAGGGAAAGCCTGTGGAGGTTTTATGTGCATCAATTCTCTATGATTTGGAAGGATTCTTCTCATTAGAGAATTCTAAGACAGTGTCGGAGTTACTGCTATGGCTAAACATTTTGGTCTTTATGAAGAAGCTTAGGGCAATTTAGCAGCTCTATTAAATGCTCATATTAAAGGGAAATCTTAGACGGCTAAAGTTTATTGAAATGATATCTGCCATATTGGGTTTTAACTTTTAAAAATGAGAGCTCTATAATGCTTTCATTGATTTTGTTTTTTGCTACAAGTTCTGTGATTGTTTTGTTTCTGTGAGGTGCTTGCTCTCAAGAGATAATAGCTACAGGGAAGGGTTAGTCTAACTGGTGTATCTCTAACTCCTTATGAATCCCCAAAGCATACTTCTTTATGGATAAATGTTCTACTTTGTATATTTTGAGATTTTTGTTTAAGTGGCATGCTCTCTTTAGATACTAAAATTTTACTTTTAATGCAATTTTATTAGGATGTGGTGCTACTTTTCTCTTTTTTAAAAAAGTTTTTAGAAGAAATGCTGCTGGAACCACACGTTTGTGTGGAGGCTAAGCATTTGGGGGCAAGGTTAATCATAAATTTTACTTGAGTACAGTAAAGTTAATGACATGTTTAATGACAGATTAGTATTACTGTGAGTTAATTGGCTCTAAATCATAGTTATTATTAGTAGTCATTTAGGTTACTTTATTCAAATCAAAGTGTAAAAGCTTTTATGATTAATTATTATTTTGATGTTCTGTTCAATTTAAATATTATTTTATCCATGCACACACGAGTGTACAATATACCCAGAAGCAAGGCCTGGATCTAGTTTGTCAAACCTAGGCTACCTCGGGACCCTTTCTTCTCTCATAGTCTTGGTTCCCTGTTCTACCCTCGTACCAGTGTCCTTCTTTGTTCCTCTTGCAGTGTGTTCTTGTCTTCTTTCCTTCCTGTCCTTTCTTGACCCCCCATTTCAAGGCTTCTTCACCACTATTGTCTTCTTGATTCTTATTCTTTGGCCTCTTGGTATAGTGGCAACCCCTAACTGACCTGGGAAATAGAGATATGAGGAGGTCATTATCCTATGAGAATAGAGTTTGGAAAAGTCAGAATTGGGTAGTTGTAAGCACAGAAAGAGGACATAGCTGGTTCCGATCCTATGACATATCACGTTCTGTTGCTGAATAAAGGAAAAGTTTAGGTTTAGAGAAGCAGAAAGAAGACAGTAGGTGAAGAAGAGATATTTGGTCTTTATTACAGAGGGAAGGGGAAGCCAGAAGTTCTGACTGGTCAGTTTGAAAAGCTGTCTTATCTACACTGTAGGTCCTTGAAGCAGGTGTCCAGCCTATGTGATTTGGTGGCATAGTATAATAATAATTATTATTATAATAATAGCTTTTATTTTGCATTGTGGGGTATTTTCCTGGTGTTTTATTTAATCTGCTCAAGAGCTCTGTGAGGCAGGTGAAATTGTAGTCCCCATTTCAAGGAGAGATGGATGAAGCTTTTGGAGGACTAGTAAATTCACAGTACACAATCAAGAAATGGCAGAGCATGAATTTGAACTCATGTTTGCCTGACTTCAAAGCCTCTGCTCTATACTGTTTTCTTACTTGCTGTATGGACATAGGCAAGCAATTTAATCCCTTTGAAGCTTCTTTTTCCATCTGTAAGACAGACTAAAACTACCTGATAATGGCAAAGAAAGATAAAGGGTCTCTTAAAGTTGCTTACTTACTGTTGTTGCTCAGTAAATAGTCCTAATTACTTTTTCTGGGTCATTTCTTTCTCAGGACAGAAAAATACTATGTGAGAAGAGTTACTCTTCTAAAATGACTGAAGAAAATTTTCCTCTGGGTATTTCCTAGTCAAAGTAAGATGGGGGAAGCCCAAGTCTGTGGTACCTTTTTCTTTACACACACACACACGCACACACACCGTCTGCCCATTTGTTTACTGAAGATTGGACTTCCTTCTCAAGAGAAAACTTCATCCTAATTGCAGATAAAGGTTAAAATGCATCCCTAGGGGTTTTAGTCCACATGTGGGTGGTCAGTATTACAGCCTTTCTTATCTAGGTTAATGAGGAGGCTCATTCTCTTGAAGAGCTTATAGTTGTCCTAGTTTACCTTCATTTCTTTGTTTGTAAACAGAAGCCCAGAGGTAGTTCCAACATGTCCAGCCGTGTTTGCTTGCAACTGAAGTGAGACCACAAAGCAATGTTTTTAAAGAAGCATACAGCTACAATTAAGTTTATGGAAAATTATGCAACAGTAATGAAAAATGCATCTCCAGATCAAAGGAGAAGCATTTGCTTGTGATTAGTGTGATTTATGCTGAGCTTGACCCAGGAGCTTCCCACTATTGCTTCCTTCCTACACACTGTGCATTTATGAAATACACATACACTTACGGCTGGCATATAATATATATAAGATTTACTGATGACAGAAAGTTATTACTGTTTCAAACTAATGCAAGCTACTTGCAAAAACCAAGAAAAAATGAATTATATAAATAATGAGTGACCTTGTAGTTCTTCCTTAGCTGCTAACAATTCGTTATAGTACTGCATTCTACCCAGTTAATGAAAAGAAAAAGAAAAGAAACCCATTTATCTTTCTAATGGGTGGATCATTTGAGGAAGTGGTTCTGGGGATAAGTGAAGCTCATAGGAGTATTCAGTAAGATGCCATCTTTCACAGGTCTTAAATTTGTTTCTATTTGTTGAGCCTTCCCACTGTTAAGTCCAGCATTAGTTCAGGCTCTTCATGATCTTCAGTTTAAATTGTGTGAAGAGAAGACCTGAGCATTGAATAATGAAGATGGTTAGGGATTTAGAAAAGATGTTAATGGCAACAATCCAAGATGACTAATACTACTGGTCCCCTACAACTGTAGACAAAAAGGTATTTATTCGACAGTTTAAATAATATGATATGAGTTTGGTGAGAGTTAAATTTTTATCTGTTTTGTTACTCTGGAAATTTTATTTCTTTAGTGTCAACATAGTATAAGTTTTTCTTACCCTTAAATATCTCAGCAGCTGAAAGGATTACTTCTGTTAGTGTAAAGATTAAAGCAATCACATTATACTGTATATGTGATAGAGAATATTTCATTTGAAAGGTTTGAAATTTTTTTTATACTTTGTGTCTGTGAGATTTCATATATCTTTGCTCAAATAGGTATTTTTCCTTATTAATCTCAAGAACTATGTTGATCACTTGATAGTTGTATTTTAAAATGAAATTTCTAATCATGTAAAATTTTAGTTTTTTGTAATTTCACAGTTTAAACAAACCATTACCAGTGTTAAGTAATAAATCTGTGGCATCCATTCATTCAGTGTGTATTCTGTGAAGGCCTGTAGTGTGCTAGGCGTATTTCTAGCCATTAGAATATAGTGGAGAGAAAACACAGACATGGGCCCTGCCTTGATGGGTTTAACCTTCACTACTGTTTCCTTGATTTTAGATCCAGGTACTTGTTCTCATGTACTAAGATTGGTCTGCCTTGATCATTATTTTTCAGAAGAAGGAGTTTGACAACTGGTAGTAACCAAAACCTAACCAAACTGAACATACAAAAAACCATTGTATTTATTGCTTTGTTTCCAAATTATGAATTCTGGTACTCCATTCATGTTTTGTTTGTAGAGGGACATAGTTTTTTAAAAAGAAGTAATTTTAGCAACATATTCTCCAAAATACTTAGTTGTGTGGGTTTTTTTTTTGTTTTTTTTATAAAATTATAGTAATTGTTACAGTGAACCATTTTTGAGTGTACGGTTCACTTGTGTTGTGCAGTTACAGTGCTGTACAACCATCACCACTATCTATTTCCAGAATTTTTTTTTGTCATTCCAAATAGAAACTGTATAAAATCTTTTAGTTTGCTTCTTTTGGAACAATGAAATAGGTATATATGAACTTTGAAGGAGATCAAACTAGTGTGAACATGGAAAATTTTATAGAGAAGGGAAGAAAAATTGGGGATTAAAGACTGGTACACAAAAATGTCTGACAGTCTCAGACACAACTGGTTTCCTTCCCCTGGAAGAGGAAGCATGTCTCGTGTAAAAGATATTTGGGTCTGTGATCTAAAAGAATTCAGTTTCCCAAACACTGGATATTAATTGGACTCAACAAGAATGTTCATGTAGATCCTCTGTCTGTGTTGCTCCTTGTGCTCAAAAATACAGCTGTTTAAAGAGTTCTATTATTTTTGAAGGAATTTAAGTACCCTATTCACATTACAGATGCTAAAGTGTATTTTGCTTGGCTACTTCTCTTCCTCATTCATAACACTCACATGCTACTGTTACACAATAAAGAAGTAGAGAAATTATCAGGGAACCTTTTTCAGAAAATTTAGCAAATAAGAATTTAAGAAAATAAACAGGAAAATTATTTGCTACCTGTTAAGATAACGTTTTATTAATTTGTCTAAAAGTATATTAATATACTCTTCTTTTAATATACAGAATTATAATTTTCATCTGCATTTATTTATTTTAATGTTTTATTTATTTCTGAGAGAGACAGAGAGACAGAGACAGCGTAAGCAGGGGAGGGTCAGAGACAGAGGGAGACACAGAATCTGAAGCAGGCTCCAGGCTCTGAGCTAGCTGTCAGCACAGAGCCCGATGCGGGGTTTGAACCCATGAACCGTGAGATCATGACCTGAGCCAAAGTCAGATGCTTAACCAGCTGAGCCACCCAGGTGCCCCGCATCTGCGTTTATTATTCTGTTTTTTAAAGAGTGACACTCCTAATGAAATCTATTTATTACAGCTAAAAGATGGCGGCAAAGCATCCCAGGCAAATGTAAGAATAGGCGATGTGGTTCTCACCATTGATGGAATAAGTGCACATGGAATGACTCATCTAGAAGCCCAGAACAAGATTAAGGGTTGTACAGGCTCTTTGAATATGACTCTGCAAAGGTAATTTGCATTTTTTTTTTCTTTTACCTCGGAGTGAGAACAATACTGAGGAATGTGTTTTTGTGTATCTGATTCATGGTGTTAACAAGAAGTTTCTACTACCACTGTTTCAAGTAGATAAATTAAAAAACATAAAGGCTTTTAAATTGAGTAATTGAACAGTATGAAAAATTGGTGAAAGCTTTGAATTATTTCCCCATGAAAAGACAGGTATTCATGTATTCATAAAAATTGTATGTATAGTTTTAGAAAATAAAAGATTTCCTGAAATTTCTCAATAGAATACAGGCTAAAATTCTTATTATAGGATAAAACTCTTGGCCTTAATATTCTGGGCAGTATATTAGAGGGTATTATCTGGTTTGGCTTTTCTTAGTATGTCTTTTGCCCTCTTTTTCCTGGGTAGAAAAAAAAATTTTTAATGTACTCATTTGAAATGCACATTTTCTGAACTTACTGTTTTTGTTTTTTAAAGTTACTCTGGCTTTAGTTATAGCATAGCTAGTCATCTCATTGATTATGATGTATCAGGCATTTTGAGCATTTCAACATTTGACCTGCCTTGAAATCATGTAGATTGCTTGATAAAAATACTGACAGAATCAGAATATCTGAAAGGACCAAGAATTATATTTTAATAAGTTGCCTATGATTATTATGAATTATAACATTAGGACTACTCTGCAGTATCTTGTGATAAGGGGAAGGGAGGTGAAGGGGAGTGGGGAGAAGGTGACTGAATGATAGCTCTGAACCTTTAGGCTTATGAAGAAAGTAGCTATCATATCATCAGGTAGGTATGGAGGGTTTTAAGTAAATCTTGTGTTTGATTATTACAGACATGTTCTCTAATTCTATAACATTTGGGAGACATCATTTTTTTCCCTCGAAACATCTCAGAGGCTTCCATAAATTATTCTGTATATTATAAATTTTTTTTTAATTTTTTTTAATGTTTTATTTATTTCTAGGAGAGAGAGAGACAGCTTGAGCAGGGGAGGGTCAGAGAGAGTGTGTTTCATATTCTGAAATAGGTTCCAGGCTCTGAGCTGGCAGTCAGCACAGAGCCTGACGCGGGGCCCGAACCCACGAACCGCGAGATCATGACCTAAGCGAAAGTCGGATGCTTAACCGACTAAGCCACCCAGGCGCCCCATGTATATTATAAATTTTTAAGACAGGAATAACATATGTGGTACCAAACATATTTGGCTATGGAACCTTTTTTTTTCTGGAGTCTCTCCTTGACTATTTAAAATACACAGGGTAAATTTTATGTACTTGTCTGGAAGAGTATCAATTTGGTCTTAAAAACTGAATAGGAGAAACTCTTGTGAACTTAGACTTACAGATTTATTTTGATGTAACCAGTCTTTCCCCTGACCCTGCCTTTTTTTTTTTTTTTTTTTTTTGGTTGGAGAAATTTTTTTCAGTGGGATTATTTGGTCAAAGGTTATTTGTATTTAAATATTGATAGCTGTTAGGTATACATTTTATATACATTTTAATGCATATGAAGGAGTCAATGAGAAAAAATAACCTTGCTAAAAAGTTCTATTTCTGTATTATCCTTTCTGTTCTAGGTACTGAGACATATAACACAAAATTATTGTTACTAACTATATGAAAAGTAGTCATTTTTGTTTATAGATATTTTTAGTAAGTATGAATTTTGAAAGGATACCATGAAGCCAAGAAGTTTAATGTGTCTGAAATTTTAACCAAATAAAACATGTAATACAGACGGTGATGGGCTGTTTCTCAGATTCTAAAGTTGAAAGTTTATGTAGAGTATAAGCTCTTTTCATGGGCTGTGTATCACTTCTTTCGTATCAACCTACTTATTTTCACATTATACTCCTTATTTAATGACCGAGGACCCAGTATCTTATTTTCTGTTGAAAATACTTCTGGGTCCCCTAAGAATAAATGAAAAACAGATGTTACCTTGTTTGGATATATTTCCAATTTAAGTAATCTGTTACTGACTTTTAATTAAGATTATTTTAAGCTACTTACATAGGAAACTTAACAGGTTATAAACATTTGGAGATACTGCATAATCTTCATATTTGTGAATATGGATATTCAGGGACCCAAAACATGAGGGAGAATTTTAGAGCCCTGTTGTTACTTATTGTAATTCTCAAGTTTTTGAATACTTCTTGTGTTAGGTAATCTGAAAAGATACTTACATTTAACAGAACTTATGGTTTAACATTAACATACTACTGAAGAAATATTTTTTGCCTTTCAAGGAAAAAATAAAACTTTGAATAGTTAGTTTCAATTCTTCCCTGTATGTAGACCAATCCCTTTCTAAGTTCTCTCTTCTCTCAAAGCAGATAGTTTACTTCCACTTATTTCTAAATTTGACAACAGCATCCTTTTAGTTAATTAATTAATTAAATTTATTTTTTAACATTTATTTTTAAGAGACAGAGACAGAGCACAAGTGGGGGAGGGGCAGAGAGAGAGAAAGACACAGAATCCTAAGTAGGCTCAAGGCTCTGGGCTATCAGCAAAGAGCCTGATGTGGGGCTGTGAGATCATGACCTGAGCCAAAGTCAGACGCTTAAGTGACTGAGCCACCCGGGTGCCCCAGCATCCTTTTTCTAAGAAGTTTATTTTGAGACAGAGAGAGAACATGCAAGTGAGGGAGGAGCAGAGGGAGGGAAAGAGAATCCCAAGCAGGCCTTGTGCTGTTGCGTGGAGCCCAGTGCAGGGCTTTGTCTCACAGTGGTGAGATTGTGACCTGAGCTGTGACTGAAATCCAGAGTCGGATGCTTAACCGACTGAGCCATTTATGCACACTGACACAAGCATCCTTAATTGGCCTCCAGTCACCTTACCCTTTTTGTTCCATCTATCACCAACCTGACTGCTTTGTATTCTTCTAAATTGAATGACCCTCAACTATCTTTGTGCTGTGTAACTCTCTTCTTCATAAACATGGACTTTTCCTTGTGAGTATGTAGTACTTCCTTCTATAGTCTTGTCTTAATCCAGTTTTCCTCAAAGCCGAATCTGAGGTAGAATTCATGTACAAGTAATATATCAAGAAAGGTTTTTGAGGGGCGCCTGGGTGGCTCAGTCAGTTAAGCGTCCAACTTTGGCTCTGGTCATGATTTCACGGTTCGTGGGTTCGAGCCCCGTGTCAGGCTCTGTGCTGACAGCTAGCTCAGAGCCTGGAGCCTGTTTCAGATTCTGTGTCTCCCTCACTCTCTGACCCTCCCCGGCTCATGCTGTCTCTCTCTCTCTCTCTTTCTGTCAGAAATTTAAAATAAAAAATTTTTTTTAATTTCAAAAGAAAAAGGAAAGAAAGGTTTTTGAAATGTTGTAACAGAGTGACTAAAGCAGAATTGGGAGGAAGAAACTGAGATGAGCAAGTAATTCAGGGGATATCTAGCCTTAGCTTGATCCGGCAGAGAGCTTGGGGACAAAATTGGACTATAAATGTCTCCCTTCCCTTGCATTTGTGAGTCATTGGCCACCAATTGTTGTGGAAATGTGTGTGTGTGTGTGTGTGTGTGTGTGTGTGTGTGTGCGCGCGCGTGCGCAAGTGCATGCTGGGGAGGGTAGGAAGTAGTTTCTCTTGTTTACACAGAAAGTTGCTGGTGTGAACCATTGGCAGCATTTCATGAGTTGCTGCACCAAACTGGTAGAAGGGTTCCAGTGGACCCAGCCTGGATACAGCTATGAGATTACATCTAGACTTGAGTCCTCTTGCTTAGAGGATTAGGCTCTCTATGATCTAGACTCATATTGTCCTCCCCAGATCATCACTACTCATCAGTGAGTACCTTCATTTTTTTAAAAGATAGGTTTCTTTCTGTCTTTCACCTGCCTGCCCTCTCATGAAATTCACTTCACCTGGGATGCCTTCCGACCTACTGCCAGCAAATGTCTCTACATACACAAAGCCCATATGAGACCTTATCTGCCCGTAGTCATTTCTTTTGCAACTCATTCATTTTTTTTCTCTTCTGAACTCCTATGACCAGTTTATACCATTTGATTCAGCATTTAATTATATGCTAGGGATAACCAGGAATAACAAGGCACATTCCATGAGTCATACAGATAAATCTAATTAGTTAATAGTTATACCTAATACTGTCTATATAATTAACTAATTACTCCATGTATATTAGTTCTGCTTCTCCAGCTAGACTCCTTGAAAGCAAAGACCATGGCTTTTGCACTATTTGTATTTAACAGCATCTTGAATAGTTTTGTGTTCTTAATCTCTAATTAATATTTGATGGATACCAGCATTAATTCCCAAAGTTGGAGGAATCATATTCTTATTCCACAAATAGTTTTTGAGCTTTCACTATGTACCAAGCACTGTTATAGATACTGGGGACATGCAGTGAACAAAACAGACAAAAATTTCTGCCCTTACAGTGCTGACCTTTGAGTGAGTAGAGATAGACAATAAACAAGTAAGTAAAAGCATGTATCATATCACACCGTGGTAAGTGTTATGGGGAAAAACAAAGCATGTAAGGGAGGTAGGGAATGCGGGGGTAGGGAATGGTTAGGAAAGCTTCGGTGAGAAGGTTATTGGATCTGTGGGTCGTGAGTGTCCCAGGCAGAGGGAAGAGGTGGTGCAGTGGCCCTGCGTGGGAGGCCAGTATGCCTGGAGCAGAGTGAGTGAAGGTAGACTGGTAAGAGGTAACCTCACAGCGGCAGCAGGAAGTGGCTTGAGATGGGACAGAACTTGTATAGCCTTGTGAATCCCTGTCATGTTTTTAATCAAATGTAAGTTTTCCTGGACCTAAAAAAAATTGTAAGAAAGCCTTGAAGAGTTGTAGCTGGTAGCTGCTTGCCCAGACCTACCGGCAAGGTTTGGGAGAGAAATGACTACATTATTGGAAGGAGGGGCCAGACAGAGGGGGAGGGCAAGCTTCTCCTCAAGTCGCCTTGGTGGAGGCGCTGCCTTTTCCTTCTGGCGCTGCAAACACTGGATGGTTGCCCCTGCTGTAGAGTTCTGC